AAAATCTGTAGTATCGAATTATCGATTTGGAAATCCTAGAACATTTGGCATATACGGAAATAGGTTGGCATGATCCACATAGACACTGCAAATTTGTTTGGGCATATTTCGATACTACAGATATTGAATTAGTCTTGGGTGATCTAGTAAAAAAATAATCTAATCTCCAGAATGATTTCAGAACTTATAACATCTTGTTTACGTAGCAATAGGTCGGGTACAATCCACATAGACATTTTGAATCTGTTTGGACATATTTCGATACAACAGACATTATTGGAGTCTTGGTTGATATAGTAGAACAAATCAACTGAACTCCAAGACGATTTGGAGAACCTAGAATATCCGGTATACATGGCAATTGCTCGCTTATATACGATTCGTGTATGATGCTATGCTATGTTCATATTGGAAAAAAGGAAAATGTCTCACATTGGACAGACCTCAGGGAATTTCCGTATAAATCCGATGTGACTTATGGAATTGAGATCATTTCTCGATTATTTGCAGGGTGTTTGGTTTGAACCGGTAAAAAATTGAAAGCCAAATGAACAACAAAATTGATGACAGCAAAATAATGTTCGCGACATCATTTAATGTTTCCGCTATTTTCGCGACTGAAAATTCAAATCCGCGACAAATCCGCGAAAATCGCGAAATCCGTGAAATTCGCGAAATCCGCGCCTGTTGTAACAGCCCTGCAATTAATAACTATAAATAACAATAAACAAAAAGTTTGGTTTTCCCATAGTAATTTCCATATAAACTTCAAATGGTTTGTGCCAAGTAAGTTTCTTATCAAATGAGTTTAAACTTTCGGAGGCTAATCAGGACCCGATTTGAAACCGTTTGAAAACTGTGGAGCAAAAATTTCAAATTTTTCATCAGACTAATGTTTTATTATACGCATATTCTTGGCGATGACTATCATCAAAGTGGAAAAAGAAACCACCCAAAATATTCCTGATGTTGGCAACTATCCCTATAGCCAAAAACGGGAAAGCACTGGTGGCATATTCCAAATCACAAGTTCCAGTTATAGTGTTTGATCGCATTACTATGATCCTGTTGGAATTTAGAGCGTGTTAGACGTTTCGCAGAGCACAACTTGTACATCAAAATATCAGTTAGTGCCCTAAGATACCAAAAGGGGTTTATCGGTTTCCTATTTCCACTACTCTTTAACACTCCGAATACGGTGGGTAAAATACTTTACGTCGACTACGAAGCCTCCGGAAAACATGTAACAGCAACAATTAAGGTACCTCTAGAATTTATAGGCTCTGTAGATTATTTTCATTGCAGAATTTTAACCTTTCGGGTCGTCTACTTTTTTCAAACGTGAAAAGAGTCGTTACACTTTTGTTTAAGGTATGTTCAAGGGTTTTGCAAGTGGCCTTAGATCCATAATTTAGATTAATGGGCACAAATGTTCATAATTAGCCAGAATACAGTCATGGTTCCTATATATGGAACCTGGAGATAACAGAGCGGTCCTCGAAAGATCCGGAACATCCGTAAAAGTGTTCTATCCATAAACCTCTGATCCTAGAATTCCGTGGTTTTTCGAAAACATTAGGAACTGTGATATAAGAAATAATTTGGGTTCATGACACAAACATGGACCCGGATTGCCAAAGTACCGTCCTCTGGAAGATCCAGAACATCCGTAAAAGTGTTCAATCTATGAAACTGATCCTAGAGCTCCGCGGTTTTTTTTTTCGAAAGCATTAGTAACTGTGATATAAGAAAGAATTTGGGGTCATTACATAAACCTGGACCTGTATGGTCATAATACCGTCATCCGGAAGATCCAAAACATCCGGAAAAGTGGTCAATTCATGATTTTAGAACTCCGCAGTTTTTGAAAAATACTAGAAGCTGTGATGATAGAATGAATTTATGGTCGTGACAAACATGGACCCTGATAGCTATGAGACTGTCCTCCGAAAGATCCGGAACATCCACGAAACTGATCCTAGAGTTTTCCGTTTTTTCGAAAGCATTTGAAATTGTGACATAATAAAAAATGGGGTCATGACATAAACCTGGACCCGGATGACCATGGGGCCGTCCTCTGGTAGGTCCGAAACATCCGGAAAAGAGGTCAACCAATGAAACTGATCCTTGAGCTCCGCAGTTTTTTTTTTTTCAAAAACATTTGGAACTGTGATATAATAATTTGGGGTTATGGAATACACATGAACCTGCATGGCCATGGGATCATCGTCTGGAAGATGTGGAACATCCGTAAAATGGTTAAACCATAAATCTTATCCTTGAGTTCCACGGTTTTTTTTTTCGAAAGCACGTGGAACTGTTATTTAAGAAATAATTTGGGGTCGTAACATAAACATAAACTCGAATGACCATGAAACCGTCTTCCAGAAGATCCGTTAAGTGGTGCATCGATGATACAGATTCTAGAACTTTTCGGTTTTCTCGAGAACGCTTCGAACTGTGAAGTTTTCGAAAAAATCACGGTTTTTTCACTGTTTCATGTAACATGAAACACTTTTACGGATGTTCCGGATCTTCTGAATGACGATCCAATGGCCATCCAGGTTCATGTTTATGTCACAACCCCAAATTCGTTCTTATAATACAGTTCCAATTATTTTTTTAAATAAACTGCGGAGCTCTAGGATCAGTTGCATAGTATACAACTTTTAAGGATGTTCCAGATCTTCCAGAGGACGGTCTCATGCCCATCCAGGTCCATTTTTACGTCCTAACCTAATTTTTACTTGTATCACAATTCCAAGAGATTAAAAAAAAACTGCTGGGCTCTAGAATCAGTTTCATGCATAAACCAATTTTACCGATGCTCCGTATCTTCCAAAGGACGGATGTTTTGGATTTGCTGGAGGACGTCCCCATAGCCATCTTTGACCATGTTTATGTCAGGACCCTAAATTCTTTCTTATATCACAGCTCCAAGCGTTTAAAAAAAAACTGGTGAGCTCTAGGATCAGTTTCATGGATTGACCACTTTTAAAGATGTTTCGGATCTTCCTGAGCACCCTCCCATGGCCATTCGGATCCGTGTTTATGTCATGAACCCAAATTATTTCTTATATCACAGTTCCTAATGTTTTCCAAAAAACCGCGGAGCTTTAGGATCAGTTTCGTGGATTGACCAATTTTACGGATGTTCCGAATCTTCCGGAGGACCGTTCCGTTGTCTCTAGGATCCGTATATAGGAAGGAATCATGACTGTATTCTGGCTAATTATGAACATGTGTGCCCATTAATCTAATTTATAGATCTTAGGCCATTTGCAAAACCCATAAACACTCCTGTAAAAAAAACTTGGAACGACTCTTTTCGCTTTTCAATAAAGTAGACGTTCCTATTTTTAATCTGTTTCAAATTAAAATGATCTTCAGACTCTAGGAATTCTAGAAGTACCACATTTTTTTGGAATTCATCAAGAAATGGCTAAGTTATGCTATTGCAAACTTGCCGTTACACGTTTTTCGGAGGCATCGTATTCGGAGTGTTAACCACCAGATAATTAAATTATAGGGCGGTTAAAGAGTAGTGGGAAGTGTGAGCCGAATTTTGATAATTAATTTGGATTAATTCAGGTTTTGGAAGATTGATACCAACATTAGATTGTGACGTGTTAGACTTAAAGCAATAGTGTTCAAACGAGAATAATTAACAGTTCAAATCCCTTGAAGAAGATTTAATAAGCGTCGGACTAAAGGGGGTGTGCCCCGTAACGTGGGTAGATCACCTTTTCGTGGTACGTTACGGGATGTAAGATCTACCACCGAATCTTAGTCTTGACTACTTCAAACTAGGGGTACAGGATTTTTCAGTAATCAAAGGAACACATCTTAGTCCTTGTTACCTTTTATGCCTTGTTGATAGTGATAAGTCCTCGGGTTGCCTGTACCGAGGATGATCTTGAAACAAGGAAAAAATGAGTTAGTTAGTCTTCATCTATGTGATTCCTAATCTTCTATTCATTGTTCTCTAGTTTGAAGTGGTTAAGACTAGGGTTCTGATGCATGGTCATTATCGGTGTCATTGCTTATTTTTATTGCTAAGGAATCCCATTTCGACTGACAAAGGGGCGCGTCTTTGGAGGGTATTCCAACACTCCGAAGGGTATAAATAGCGGGACCTTTCATTTAGAATCGATTCCTTGCGATGAAGGCAAGAATGACAACTGTATCAACACCGAATACTTCATCATTTCTCAATAGTGATGGAGTAATACGACATGCACTAAACTAAGGACACGGGCTATACTACAATAGATCAAATTACTGGTCGCAGTAGTGTTATGTCCCGAACAAAGGAAAAAAAAAAAAAAAAGGTGGTTCAATAAAAAATAATAATGATATCAGTGCCGTCCAGCGCTCTTGTGAGAGCATCGCGACTAAGTTGCGTCGTACGGCTGACCAGAGCCCCTTCTCCAATATTCATCGACATTTTTATGAAGAATAAACATTATGTTTATAATAAAAATTACTGAATTTTTTTTTTCTAGCTATATGACTGAAAAAAATCTCATTTTTTATTGAACACCCGTTAGGAGCAATATGTCATTGTTCAATTGAATTGGTTGATGACAGCAATCAATCATAGCTGTTCCAGATAATATTTACTGAAGACAGTGTACTTCAATTGAGCTTATAATAAGAAAGCTTCCCAACTCATAACGCGCGCTTATTTGTTTTACATGATCTCGCATAGCTGTTCATTTGGGAACCCTGAGTATACTTGGGTGGTCAAATTATATTATTTCACCACTAGGTTTCAATGTCGTACCGTTGCAATATCATTTTATCGAACAACAAGTTAAAATTAACTACTTCTGTGTGTACAAATCATCATAATTAGAAATATATCGCATTTAATCATCGGAGCACATACGTGAAAACCACCCCCGAATGATCCACCCTGACAACCCCTTCCTTATGCAAATGACCTAAATGATGCACCAGCATGTCAAAATTCAACGATATTAAATATCAAAACATACCAGCAGCTTGCAGTTATCCCAGCTATCCACACTCAGCTTCAACATGAATACAGTTTCTCGACTTTATAGTAGGAACACTGACAATTGCTTTCCATGCCTTGCTTGCTCCCGTCGGCAGCGACTCAATCCATCATAATCGCAAGCAACTTAGCAGCAATTAGTTGCACAAACTTGCTCGGAAGCCCCACGCTCGACAGGCTTGCGTTCAAAGCAATAAAATTTCACAATTTCTCACTGCCTTAACTCGACTTAGTCGGGATCGTTTTCCACTAGCACTCGGTGCTCTAAAGTGCTCTGGCATTTAGCAGGTACACCACTAACTGCTTTGACCTTTCCGTTGTTCCGTGTTGTTCAGTTTCAATTGAACTGCAAAGTTTATCACTATTTATAGCGTAACGGCTTTTCCTTCACCAGTGTAATCGGTTTTTCACACCTTTTTCTCACTAAGTATAGATTTTCCACATGCGGTTTGTTCTACTTTTTAAGCACTTGTACACCACCTTCCGAGCTCCTTCTTACACTACACATTCCGCACCGTGGGCGCCTTGTCGAACCAGTGACTTGTCACCTTAATCCGCGAGTTTTGCCGCACTTTCCACACCTCGTTGTTTGCTACTTTCCACGCGTAATATTTTCCTATTTCCTTTTATGTCATCAACTACGCTCAAACAAAGTTGTTCGAATTGATGAAATACTTTTCCCTTCTAGCCTGGCACTGTTTTCGGATTGATCTCTTTTTTTTTACCAGAATCGACAGCACGAACAAATAAACTTTGTAATTTGAATCTTTTCCTCGTTTTTTGCTGAATTGAAATCGTTCTTTTTGTTCCGAGGTCCTAGTCCTGTTTCCCTTCGGCTACACTTCGCCTCACGTGTCCCTTCGATTCCATTCAATAAGCATTTCACGCGAAAAAAGGAAAATCTTCTTTATGCTTTGAATACCAGCCCTCAACCGAAAACAGAGATGCTCTTTTTTTTTATTCCTCCGTCCGTACTCCTCGTCGTGAGTCCTTTTTTGCACACTGTACGGCGTATTTCCCGTCTCGTAGACCAAAATATCGATCAACACCGAAGCAGAACGAAAGAAAATGCCAAACGGACAAAAGACGGTCCTCTCCTTGAGAGAGTCAAACAACAACTGAAATGTTGTCGAAGATTTTTTTCCTCAATCCGTACCCGCCTCGAAGTTGGCCAGTCTTCTCGCTCACTCACTAAACTCCGTTGGCACTGTGTTCACTCCTTCTCGATACCTTGGCTGCTGCCACAGCCGGTATTGGAAACCCTCCCGACCGACGGCAACGACGACGTCGAGACAGACCTCAGCGTGCGTGTGTGAGCAGTGGAAAAGGGAGAGGCTCAAATTTTCCTCCTTCCCCCGTGCGAGCAAGTGAGCTACGCTCAGCTTTTGTTGGGGTGGTGTGTTGAGGTTGCTCATTCTATGCTCTTCTTCCCGCGGAGTTGTGTACGTTTTGCTAGTAGCACTAATACATGCCGGCTTCCATGGCCATGACGACAATGGTTCTGCGCAAAACCAAGTTAGCTTCCTACCTATCGAGGTAGATGTGACGAACCGGGCAAAGGAAAAACAGCGATGAACGCTAGCTATGCTCGACCACCCCAGGAAACTCTCCCCCCGATATGGCGATGGAGGTGAATCGTGAAGATATGAAGCGAAACAGAGCATGAGCCTACGGTGGTAGTGATGGTGAGGTGGTGATGGTGTTGTTGCGCACTTTGGGTTTCTTCATTCCGTTTTATTTGCAGGCACTTTTGCCAGTGTTAATAAAAGAGCAATTTTAAAGAGCACTGCTGCGCCGGGAAATTACTGTTGTGCAACTTGTTGTTGATGTTCTTTGTGCGTTCCTTTACATTCATTTTAACGCTATCTACATTTTAAAGACTATAGTTTGCTTTTATAATGTTTTATACATTGTGTTTGTAAGATGAGCTGCCAAAAATGCAATCGATATAGTCGTGATTGTTGATAACTAACTGATTTAAGTAATTAACATTTTTTGTTACTTTCTGAATAACGCAGGAGGAGATTTTCCAACTAGACTTTTTGATACACAGGATCTTCCCGAATAGCGTGGTTGGTGGTGCCGTCCACCCACTGAAATTTCTCCGCTAACCTCCATGCAATTGAGCGAAGTTTTGAAAGTGATTAGGGATCAACCATAAGCTACTCACGAACATAAAATCAGCTCAATTGGTTGAAAGATAGCCGAGGAATTGTGGTGGGCGGGCGGCACCACTTACCGCGCTACCCGAGGGATTCCTGTAATTTTATCACAAAAAATACCAGCTCCGGAACTTTGTTTACCGACATTTCAACAGCTGAAGATATCATACATCCTTCATTGTATGCGAAATGCGTTTCAAGTGTCGAGTTCAAGTTTTTGGCAACATCCGTTTTAGTCTACCACAGAGTTTGGCACCATCCGAGTTTGGCAACATCCGATTTTGTTAACATCATGTATAACTACACACACTTAGAAATAACTATTTTGACACGAGACGTAATCCATCTTTGACGTAAATTATGGTACGTAAACAAACATGTCATGTATAATTAAGTCTAGATAGAGCAGGAATTAGGGCGTAACAGCTTTTGTAAACAATGACTTCTATCGATGATTTCTAGGAATAGGCGAATCCAGTAGAAACTAAGCGATCGTTTCAGCCTCTCGTGGTGAATAGGAGAACCACCAAAAGAGTGATGAGAGCTGAAATTTTCGCCGTGAAGCATAGGAATAGGAAAATGTTTTTACCTTTTCTGATTAAATTATACATCGCAGGTGCTTGAAGCCATCATCCACGTGGAATATTTTGTTTTCTGTATCGATTTTGCAGGGATCCGGCGGGTGCTGCCACATATTTTTGTTAAGAAAAGTGAATATTTTCAAAAATGCCCCAGCGGTTATGATCATCCGGATTGTTAATGTGAGAGATAGGAATCGGAACCATTTTTCTCTTTCCTGATAAATTGATTCATCTGAGATGCTTCAAAACGTGATCTACAGTTGAAATTTTTTATTCTGTATCGTTTTTGCAAGGATGCTGCTAGTGTCCAGCAATATTTTTGTTGAGCAAAATGGAAAATTATAAAATATGCCTTAGGGGTTATGATTTCTTGTGTGTGAATAGTTCAGGTACAAATCAGTTCAGATCTGTGAACAATCGTAAAATATGGCAATTACTGATGGAAATTGGCAAGATTTTAAATGCAAAATGCTTTAATTTGCGTTGTAAAAAATCCGCATTCTGATGTAAACAAACGGTTTGACTGACGTTTCCTCTCGAATTTGCTTGGTGCACTCTACATTGGTGGGGCATTAAAAAGGCCTATTGGTTTTCTCCTTTCTCTCAACTGATTCTTATGTCTTATGGGTTGCTTGCATGTGTCGATTGTTTGTGTTAAATGAGATAAATTAAAAAAGACCGAAAAGTTCAAACACAACAAGAACATAAAATGTTACACTGAAAATATATTTTCGTTAATGTATTCACACTCATTTCGATAAAACTACACACTTAGAAAAATTCATGTAAATTGAGGTGCTCTGAGACTAACATATACGAGCGTCAATGTTGACATAAAATTGAGTCATAATATATGCAAAATTCAGCTCAACAAACGTACTTTTCATCGAGCAACGAACTTTTCAGTCTCGGAGCACTTTAAAATACATGACATGATTGTTTACGTCTCATCCTTTATGTCATAGATGGATTCCGTCACGTGTAAAATTAGGTATTCCTAAGTGTGTAATTTCGTTGATGAAACAAGCTTTTGTTCAGTTGTGCGAAACTTTCGTATTCCATGTAACTGCACACTACGAAAAAGCCATGTAAATTTCAGTGCCCTGATATCGACACATGCAAGCGGTCCTTTTGACACAAGGATCAGTTGAAAAGGATGAGTAAATCAATTCAATCAAACGTCGTCGAGTTGCATACACAGCAAAAAAATAATTTTGATATCACGTCAAAGTGGATGCACTACAATCATGTCGAAAATATGGTGTAATATTACTTGCTAAAAAGGACAAAATTATCATTAATACAATGCATGAACTGACATTACGCTGCTTTTACTGCATTTGTTTATTTATGTGGTCATAAAAATTACATGAAATTTTCGACATGATTGTAGTGCATCAACTTTGATGTGATATCAAAATTATTTTTTTGCTGTGTATGTTTCAGTTTCAGGACGACATTTAATTTTACATGACATGTTTATTTACGTTCCATGATTTACGTCAAAGCTGAATTACGTCTCGTGTAAAAATAATAATTTCGAAGTGTGTAGGTTCAATGCCAACATTTCGCATGATTCGTACAATACAAGAATGGTATTTTGTACAAACGTAAGCAATGCGAAAATAATTCGTGCAACAATTTGTGCACCTACGAAAAAAGTAGAAGGGTCTGTGCCTAGGGGCACGAACGGAAACTTGACGTAGGACCGCTAGTGGACGGAATAAATGGGAAGAGCATTTAGTTCTTTTAATTGATCAATTATCTATTATCTCAACTCTTTCCTTTTTTGAATTGTAGGCGTTCCAAATTTGTAGTAATTTTTTTCAAAGAGAAAGTTGATTATGAGAATCAGTCAAAATCACTTGCACCCCTGCTTCCAAGTTTGGTTACAAGATTACAACTCTGGATAGCATTTTGTGTGGTCGTTGGGGGCTTGTGGTTCTGAATATGGACAAACAAGCACAGATAAATTCTATTCCAACTCTTTACTGATGTAAGCTTGATGGCCCTGAAAAGGGCCGTTTTATTGAAGAGGACATCCATGGCCACTTACGCTTGGCGTGTTTAGTGTAGGTGACAGCATCGCGGACCTCATTTTTCAGGAATACCTTCAGCACACCTCGTAGATCAGACCGGAGATACGTTTGACACCATCACGTCAAGCCAGACGACCGATGGCGGTTATCTCGAAGAACTTTGCGATGACGCTTGGCGCCTCCTTTACCAGACCTTTTCCTCTTTTGCCACGACCAGTCAATTGTTGCTTGTTAGGTGTGAAGGAGTGGACTAGCCACCACCTTCCTACTGCTGCTATTGCTGTTCACCACGCCGTCCGAAGCGAAAATGAGCTAATGTCATACAGCAGCGCTCTTTTATATCTTTTCAGGTTAAAGCAGAATGATGTGCAACCAAGTGGTATAAAAGCTACAAAGACTCCTCCCATTATGAGTAGTTTGCTATCAAGTAGCGACACTGGCTCTTTTCTTTTTGCGTACACGGCGAATGAGAACGACCCAAACTTGAGTTAAGTTCACTCATAATCGCCAAAAGTGCAGGAACTCAGCGATGAGTAAATTTGTCTCATGGTTTCCTATGGAAAACCTTAAAAATCTGCTAGAAAATGAGGAAATTGACGAAAGTTGTATTCAGTCTCGGAGTAGTACCAATAGACTGAGTGAATCCAATCTTTACTTTTCTCAAATTCGGGAATTTTTCCCTGGAAAATCCTGGAAAAACCTGGGAAAACATGAGGCAAATTTACTCATCACTGAGTTCCTGCACTTTATTTCTTATTTCTGAGATAACTAAACTCAAATTTGGGTCGTTCTCATTTGCCGTGATATCACCTTGAAAGATATCGGTGCCGGTGGTTAGCGTGCTTACCTCTCACCCCAGCAGGCCTGGGTTCAATCTCAGTCGGCGCAACCGGCATGTTCTAACGCATAACATCTCTGATCACGCCTTCCTTCGGGAAGTAAAGCCGTTGGTCCCCGGTTGAGTTGATTGGTCGATTGGTAGGGTCCAGGTGTGGGAGCTGCCTCCCTGGCGTCGGTAGCTTTGGAGCTCAGTACGGAAAACAAATCTCACGTCACTTTTCAATAGGTCCTATCTACATTGATCGATTCTCTTCATCGACACTCTCTTTCGTAAATAACTCGGCTTCACAAATGTTTCCTGCCGTCTTCGTCGAATTAGATGCTAGATTGTTGCTTCTTCCATCGAAAATACCCTGCGGTGGTGATTAAAAGTTGATCAAGGTTGATCAAAATAATTTGTACCCCTGCTTCCAGTTTGATTACATGAGCATTTTGTGTGATCGTTGGTTCTGAACAGGCAGATGAATTCTATGCCTTCTCTTTACTGTAATAAGCCCTGAAAAGAGCCGTTTTTTTACCAAAGTTGGTGATGATTTAACCTCCTCAGAGTGCGTCT